AGGCATTCCCTATATATGTCTCAGCCATAGGTTCTATCATGTATGATATGTTGTGTACCATACCTGATGTGTGCCTTACCATAAGTTTGGCAAGGAGGTACCAAAGTAATCCAGGAGTGGCTCACTGGACATCGGTCAAGAACATCCTAAAGTACCTGAAAAGGACCAAGGATATGTTTTTCATTTATGGATATGATGAAGAGCTCATCGTAAATGGTTACGTCGATGCTAGTTTCGACACTAATCCGGATGACTCTAAGTCACAAACCGGATATGTATTTATATTGAATGGTGGAGCTGTCAGTTGGTGCAATTCCAAGCAGAGCATCATGGTGGGATCTACGTGTGAAGCAGAGTACATAGTTGCTTCAGAAGCAGTGCATGAAGGAGTCTGGATGAAGGAGTTAATATCCGATCTGGGTGAATACCCGGTGCATCGGGTCCAATGAAAATCCTTTATGACAACACTGAAGCAATTGCCTTAGTGAAGGAATCCAGGTTTCACAAGAGAACCAAACACATCAAGGGAAGCTTTAACTCCATTCGTGAAAAGGTCAAGGATGGAGACATAGAGATTTGCAAAATACATACGGATTTGAATGTAGCAGACCTGTTGACTAAGCCTCTTCCGCGAGCAAAACATGATCAACACCATGACTCCATGGGTGTTAGATTCATTACAATGTAATCTAGATTATTGACTCTAGTGCAAGTAGGAGACTGATGGAAATATACCCTAGAGGCAATAATAAAGTTATCATTATTATATTTCCTTATTCATGATAAAGGTTTATTATTCATGCTAGAATTGTATTGATCGGAAACTTAAATACATGTGTAGATACATAAACAAATAGCATGTCCCTAGTAAGCCTCTACTAGACTAGCTCGTTGATCAAAGATGGTTAAGGTTTCCTAACCATAGACATGTGTTGTCACTTGATAAGGGATCACAACATTAGGAGAATGATGTGATGGACAAGACCCATCCGTTAGCTTAGCATATGATCGTTCGGTTTATTGCTATTGCTTTCTTCATGTCAAATACATATTCCTTTGACTATGAGATCATGCAACTCCCGGATACTGGAGGAATACCTTGTGTTCTATCAAACGTCACAACGTAACTGGGTGATCATAAAGATGCTCTACAGGTATCTTCGAAGGTGTTTGTTGAGTTGGCATAGATCGAGATTAGGATTTGTCACTCTATGTATCGGAGAGGTATCTCTGGGCCCTCTCGGTAATACACGTCACAAGAAGCTTGCAAGCAAATTGACTAAGGAGTTAGTTAAGAGATGATGTATTATAGAACGAGTAAAGAGACTTGCCGATAAAGAGATTGAACTAGGTATGAAGATACCGATGATCGAATCTTGGGCAAGTAACATACCGATAGACAAAGGGAATTACATATGTTGTCATAAGGTTCGACCGAAAAATATCTACGTAGAATATGTAGGAACCAATAGGGACATCCAGGTTCCTCTATTGGTTATTGACCGGAGAGGTGTCTCGGTCATGTCTACATAGTTCTCGAACCCATAGGGTCTGCACGCTTAACGTTCGTTGACAATATAGTGTTATATGAGTTATATGATTTGGTGACCGAATGTTGTTCTGGGTCCAGGATGAGATCACCGACATGAGGAGGAGCTCCAGAATGGTCCGGAGGTAAAGATTGATATATAGCATGATACTATTTGGACACCGGAAAGGTTTCAGGTTGTATCGGGTAACCATCAGATCGCCGGAAGGGGTTTCGGGAGGCCCCCGGGAGGTCTATGGGCCTAATGGGCCAAGGGGAGGCACACACCAGCCCACAAGGGGGCTGGCGTGCCCTCTCCTAGGCCGCCGGCCCTGGGAGAAGGAACGGGGGAGGGTTGACCCCTCCTACCTTTCCCTCCTCATGAGAGAAAGGAAAGGGGGGCGCCACCTCCCCCTGCCTTCCTCCCGTGTGCCATAAAGGAAGGGGGAGGCCAGGGTAGGAGCCCAAGGAGGATTCAGCCGCCCTTGGGGGCGCCTCCTGGCTGCCTCCCCTCTCCCCCACCTATATATACGAGGGAGGGGGCACCACACAAAGGCACGACAATCTCTTAGCTGTATGTGGCGCCCCTCTCCACGGTTTCGTTCCTTGGTCATATTTTCGGAGTGCTTAGGCGAAGCCCTGCAGAGATAGCTTCATCACCACCATCATCACGCCGTCGTGCTGCAGGAACTCATCTACTACTTCGTCCATCTTGCTGGTTCAAGAAGGCGAGGACGTCATCGAGCTGAACGTGTGCTGAACACGGAGGTGCCGTACGTTCGATACTTGATCGGTTGGATCGCGGAGAAGTTCGACTACATCAACCACGTTAGTAAATGCTTCCGCTTACGATCTACGAGGGTACGTTGACACACTCTCCCCTCTCGTTGTTGTGCATCTCCATGGATAGATCTTGTGTGTGCGTAGAATTTTTTTGTTTTCCATGCAATGTTCCCCAACACCACGAGCCTCCTCCACTGTGCTCCTTTGGCTCCGCGGGTGTCTTCTATCCGGAAAAAAATCTCCAAAAAGTTTCATTGCATTTGTACTTCGTTTGGTATTGATATTCTGGAAAGTAAAAAACAAGCAGAAAAGAACAACTGGCACTGGGCACTATGTTAATAGATAGTCCCAAAAAATGATATAAAGTTGCTAATAAATGAATATAAAACATCTAAGATTAATAATATAACAACATAGAACAAACAAAAATTATAGATACGTTAGAGACGTATCAGTCTGCTACCAGATGGGACACTGAATATCTTCTTAACCATGTCTCTTGAAAAGTGGATCTCCTTGTTGTCATTAATCCCACAATTCACAAAAATTAAACAAACGAGTAGATGTTGCAAGAAAAAGAGAAAAGATGTTGTGCAACAGAGAGAAGAACATAAGGAGATATTGCATACTTAAGCACACGACTCTTAGTGTTAATACTCATAACTATGAAATCGAGAAGCCCTTCAGGAGGAGGAACCAAAGGAGAGATGTATAGCAAATCCCCGAAGCTGGACTTGCTTATTACATACCTCTTCTTCCCTTTGATGGCATTGGCTATGTCGCGCAGCCACTTTGCCGACCATCGAGTTTGGTAGATGGGCATGCTGCGAACACAAAATAAAAATGAAAAAAAGCAGGATGCTATGAGCATGCATCTCTAGTGATCTAAAGAAAATGAAAAACAATACTGAGATTAGTGGAAAATTGTATACATGATGCAAAAATCAGGATTTTTTTAGCTAACTCAAGCAGGCATCTAATTTCAGAAAATGAAAGCTGTTTATAACATTCCTTATTCAGAAGCATATAACCTAAATCCCCTCTGCTAAAAGCTACAGGAAATGCAGCAAGAAATGAGCTATGAGCAAGTCTAGCAAATTTCCTCTACTGAAAACTAAAGCTAAAATTCACAACCCATGAGCTGCAAAAAAATGACCTAACAAGCATGATCTAAAAAAGGTAGAATGAGCTATAGAAACTATGAGCTATTCAGAAATTAACACGGTGGGATGCTGCAACTTTAAGTTTATCACAAGCTATGAGCTTCAGAGAAAATCATAAGGAATCCTAGAGAAACTATGAACTCCAGAAATTCAGAAATAATACGACGGATCCTGCAGCTTTAAGTCCCTTTGCATGACATTACCAATGCAGAAAATTCAGCAAGCACAACTAAAAAATCAAACCTGAAACTCAGTAAAATTCAGCAGGATATCTACAAACACCTAAAACTCATTGGAACAATACAACAAAAGCACAAACTCTGCTCACATGTGCCCTGGCAAAAAACATGTTAATCTGCAAAAAATATGTAAACAAATTCTGCAACACATCCAAATCATGCAACCTAACTACACCAGCGACCTACAACACCACCGAACTATCTACACCGACAACCACTCTCCAACAAACTAGTCGTCTCCCTGCTAGTCGCGTCGTCGTCGTCATCTCGGTGGATATGCCACCCCTATGGATCCAGCTGCCCCGGGGGAGAACCGCCATGAACGCCTACAGAATCACCAGAAATGCGGGAAAAAGGGGAGGGGAGGGGTCTCAGATCCATACCTGTTGGAGTCGACGTCGGCGTTGCCACTGCGCTGGATATGCCCGGTCGCCCAATGCCTTGCGCCGCTGGCCCCGCCGCCCTCCCAGATCCAGAAGTGTCGCCCTTCGAGAGATACGAGTCGACGGAGCTGCCAGTTGCATGAATGTTGGTCCTGAAACAAGGGCTCTGTTTCAGAAAACGGACGCGCATGACGCGGAAGTGGGACGCTCTTGTCTGTCTAATCAACAGACTATCCGACGGACGTTGAGCTGGCGGACGCGGCGCGTGATCGGTCGGCTGGCTGAAGGTAAGCTTTTCGGTAGCAATATAGGTAGAAAGAAATATTGTGTTGTTTTGAATGATTTAAAAATTGCTCACCACGCGTGCCTCGCAGTAATATGCAGGGTTGATCTACAACGGGAGGGCGACAAGTGGCATGCATATGCGTTCCAAGCTAGTGCGGCATGGACGCGCGTCGTCTTTTATGCGCCCACACTGCACGACTCGGGCCAGGTTCAGACTTTTGGGCCGGTCTCTGATTCGAAGCAGACTCGCTCCCGGTCCCCGGTGGATTTGGACCGACCGTCACGTGCGTAAAGGGTGGGGGCTTGAGCCGAAAGGCGACTACTACTACCACCAGCTCTCGCTGTTGGTTGTTCCGCTACAGAGAGATTCCGCGACTCCATATCCCACCAGCCAAAACCAGACCGCCGACCGCCCGCCCGCCCGCACGCCTCTCCTGACCGCCGGAATCCCGCGCTGACGGCCCGGATCCGCCCGCCCGCCCGCTTGCTGCCCGCTGCCCGCTGCCTCCCCTGCTGGCGCTGCGGCTCCACACTTCTATGCAGTGGGTGGCGGCGGCGGTGATGCGTGATTGGTCGCGGCGGCGCTAGGTTCTCTTCTCCGGCCGCGGCGAGCTAGGCCATGGGGTGCATCCAGTCCACGCCGAAGCGGAGGCAGCACCCTGCCGGCTACGAGGACCCCGTCCACCTCGCCTCCCAGACCGCCTGTGAGCTCGCTCGCTCGCATCCCTTTTCCCCTTTTCCACGCAACCCATTCCGTGAATCCAGCTCCCGCTTCATTTCTCGAAAAAGGGTAAATGGATCCAGCTTCTGCTTCCGCCTACGCGTGCTAGCTCTCGCGCACTCGGGATTAGGATTTGGAATGGAACTTGTTTCGCGCTGCCAGCCGTGATCCTGTAGACAGTGGAGGCAAATCGAATAATCTGACCAGTAGTTATGATTAACTTATGTTTTAGTTTCTTTTTGAGGGGGAACTTATGTTTTAGTTGCTGTGATATTCATCGGACATCTGCTATTGATCCACCTCCTGCCTTGTGAATTCTCATTGGGTGTTTTCTGACTCCGTGCACTTGCTGTTCTGTTCATGTAGTCAGCGTCAGCGAAGTTGAGGCTTTGTTCGAGCTGTTCAAGAGCATTAGTGGCTCAGTGATCGATGACGGGCTGATCAACAAGGTACCACTTTCTTACGAACGTGTGATTCCTTATCAGGTTGACATACACGGACATCAAATAAGCACCCGAGACCTGTTTTTGCGTACTTTTTGTCGGTACCATTGAAACGAAATCTGACATTGCTATGCTGAAATTACATTGCGCATGTACCGACCCTTTTACAACTGAGCAACTTATGCAGCAATACCCTTTTTCGGTGATTACATTTAGCCATCAATAGTTCTAATTTCTCTAACATAGTAACTGAACATGGATTCTTGTTGTATATGTCACCAATCGTTTATTCTTGCTGTACAACTCAATGAGCCCGTTTGATAAATAGCTACAACTTAGAGCCATTATTATAGCATAATGACTATGACACGGTGAAGCCTAGTAGAGCTCGGGAGCACATGCTCCTGGCTCTAAATAAGTATTTTATCTCTTCCAAAAAAATATTAGAAGTTTCACACATTTAGGTGAGTATTAGGTAGATTTTGAGTTTTATGCAAAATTTCCATTCTTGTGGTCTGTGCAAAATATAGAATAAAAATTATAGCACAAAAATGCCTTTTGGCTCCTTATTATGGTCTTTTCCATACATAAGTCAACACATCTTCTCACGAAGAACTTGAAAGAACTTGTTCCTAAGATAACCGTGTCACGAACCCACAATGTGTCCTGCATCAGATATTATTGCAAGTTATATGAACATCATGTAGCTCAAGGTTTTAGCCGTTACCTTGCATCTCATGTTATCGTAGTCTAGCTAAACTTCCAAGGCTCGTTTCATGGTTTACTTCTTACATAAGCCAACTGCTTGCTTCGCATGTTCATAATGCAAAATTTGCTTTGATCATTCATGGTAGAGTTCTAGACACCTTGGGAGAATGCCTTCCTTCTCCAGTGTAATTATAAATGTATCTTATGGTCATATATGTCATAGAATTTATTACTTGTTGTCATGTTAACCGGTACATGTCTGTGCAATTATATGTACCACAGTGAACTATCATCTCGTTGTCATTGGGTACTATATTCACTGGCAACTGAAACTATGCGTAATTATATTCATATATACGCAGGAAGAGTTCCAGCTTGCATTGTTCAAAAACACAAGGAAGGAAAATCTTTTCGCTAATCGGGTATACATCTCCTTGTCAACTATTCTCATTTGCAATATTACATATTATATGCTGGGGCTCAATGTTATCAATACAATTGACTTATATGAAATTGACCTTGTAGATATTCGACCTGTTCGATGTCAAGAAAAGGGGTGTCATTGATTTTGGCGACTTTGTTCGAGCTTTAAATGTATTCCATCCAAATTTTCCAGTGGAAGAGAAAATTGATTGTAAGTTGTTACGTTTCTGTCTTGTCTTCAGTTTGTAGATACCATTCTCTCTCTTTCTGAAGGTTTTGAGCTGCTTGATACTTACAGTTTCCTTCAAGCTATATGATATGGATGGTACAGGCTTTATTGAACGGAAGGAGGTAATGTCTGGCCTTCTTGGTTTGTGCCTCTGCGCATGTTTTTTGCTTCTGAATTTTTCTGAATTAGTCATATATACAAAAGAAATGCGTTGCTGTGTGACTGAAAAATCCAGCAGCGTGTGCACTTATGTACTACTGAAGCAAAATAATAATTAAAGAGACAAGGAGATGTACTCGTCTCAGCTTCCATTCTAGATACATAATTCATATCTTCCAACGATTGCGGCACATGCTTCACAAATCAAACATTGCTAGTACGACAATGACTGCGATTGGCTTTTTTCTGACTACGGAAGCAGGACTGACCTAACACTGAAAATGTAGCTACTAATTAAGAGCATCTACATGGACCAGCATGCAGCAGCACACCTAACAATATTTGCTAGACCCTAAAACCAGGCAGCCCCGCAGATGCTCTATACCATCTGGAAGCCAAGCCAGACCAAAAAGATCAGGCTGCTGAACTCTGTAGAAACCAAGCCATAGCATATAACAACAACAAATATTTAAGAGTTTTTATTGGCTCAAAGTGAGAATTCTGGTGCTCACCAAGAACCAAATGATAACGGTAAACAATCGAACCAATTATCATCTCAAAAGTTGACATTGGTGCCATCACCATTTTGTGTGTATAAAGTGTAGGAATACTTATTAGCCTTCGTTTATCAATTAAAATTTCTATCATCCTCTTGTACAGGTAAAGCAGATGTTGATTGCTCTTCTAGGCGAATCAGAGATGAGATTATCTGACGAGATTGTTGAGACAATCCTGGACAAGGTATTGGATACTTTTTTAAGTTGTTAGTTGCTTAGGCTGTTGACAATTCTTGTGTCCAGTATTGAAGTGTAGACCGATAATGACTGGTTAATGGTGACAGACCTTTTCAGATGCTGATACGAATCAGGATGGTAAAATAGACAGAACAGAATGGGAGAATTTTGTGTCCAGGAATCCTTCCTTGTTGAAGATAATGACTCTTTCGTACCTCAAGTGAGTATGATGTAACATATAAATTCAGAAGCATTGGCCGCAACTACGTTTACGTGTCCCCATGCGGCTATTTCCAGAGAAATCAATTTCTAGAGCTTAAACTGAGAGTAATTACTTTTGGCCGCTGAGCTCCAGTGATCATTATGTTTTGAAAATTTCAAAAGGTGCATTTACGACTTTCAGGCAAATCTTTAAAACAATCCCACATGTTCACGTGTTCACGTGGCAATTCATAGTGTATTCATACATGCACATGTGGGATTTGTTTTGATTTTCTGAAACCTGTAAATGCACTTCTCAAGAATTTCAAATTAAAGGGATGACTGGAGGTCATGAGCGAAATATCTGCACCCAGACAAGCACATTCTAGTTACATGTGGTAGTAATTGTTTATGTGACCTTCACTACTATTACTGTTATCTTGAACTAGCATAAAAAGTAGTTTACCATAAAGGCCATGGCTTCTTGTACCTTTTCCATAGGATGTTTGATGACAGTGTGGTGCACGGGTTTTTTCCATGAACATTTGATACGAAGGAACGAAAATTCTTGCTAATCATTTGTGTTGATGTTTCAGGGACATAACGACCACGTTTCCCAGCTTTGTGTTTCACTCGGAGGTTGATGATATCGTTACATGACGATGATCCTCACAAAGATGTACAGTTAACAGAAAGAAAGAACGTATCATCAGAATATCTGCAACGCTGCAACATGCTTGATGCTAGCTAATGTTGCTGGAGAGTCGAGAGATAGTTTTTTTTCCTGGGTGGTGTTCGTTACACCGAGAGTTAGTCTTGTTAAATATTAATGTATGTTTGTGAGCTTGAATTTGCAAGTACTTGGCACAACTTATTATTTGTCGAGAATATGGCTGCTAAATAAACTGTTGTTCAACCTGACTAACATAATTCGAGCGTGCTTCATGAATCTACTACCACTATCTGAAAAAGATGAAGAAGCAAAACAGCACCAGAAAGACGTTTGAGAACGCGGCCTTAGCAAATCAGACAACTAACAAATGCCTTTCAAAGCCTATATATTACTGTAGATATCGAAATGTTATGTCTACTGCAGACTACTGGAGTATTGTGTTCACAGCAACCTGATAAATTTCTAAAGCATGTATGGTTGCAAGTTTGTGATCGATGAAGTTGTTTTATGAGTTGCCGCGTAAAAGTGGTTGCAAAAATAATTTACTAGCTTCTTGTTGACAAATTGCATCAGTCTCAACGACCACCACAAGAAATGTATTCTTATGGAACTATTTTTCTGCGGATTGCACTCGGCTAATCAAACTTGTTTTCTTTTGCAGAAAAAGTTCAATCAAATGGAATTATCACAATCTGTCGCAATGACAAACACAAGACAATGCACACTTGTGTGTACCGAGTGTCGTAACGTCTACATTGTGCTCGGAAGAAAACTCATCAATCATTCAAAACTTTGACTATCTATATTTTCCTAGATATTATAGATTTTTTTGACATCATCCTAGATATTATAGATGAAATTGGGGGCTTCTCCTCCTTTCACCTGGGAAAAAGTATTTCCCAAGATATTTCTATTGAACGCTTGAGAATCACATGTGCTGATTTGTCTCTATACTTCATAATTAAAAAGAGATTATATATTCGTGGTCAAAGTTGTGTATTGACACCACGCGACAAGTGTGGTAAAAGCAATCTGAAATTGACAAAAAAAAGTTGTGTATTGATGAGTTTTTTTTTTGCATGGTAATACGTGTCTCATTTATATCACAAGGGTCATAGTAAAAGCCACGTACATACCGACCTGATAGAACTGAACAAATATCATAACGATAGTGTTTGCACGAAGGAACCAAGAAGTAAAATTACAAATAAGACCGAAGAAACCTCTGAGCTTGACACCAACGACTGTCACTTGGCTCCGGCACCACCATAACAGCCACCAAAGAAAGAAATTGACGGATCACCTCCACAATCGAGCTTGACGCGGCTCCATCGCTGATATGCAGCTTTGCGGACCTCCGAGGTGGCTCGCTAAAGGCGAAACCATTACCGTTGAATGAATCAGACCATAACAACACTCCGGATACGTCATCAAACTCCAAATCTAATACCCCACATAACTAAGACGCCGGAGGAGGAAACCATACTTGACATCCATGGGCCACAAACCCAGTACACGGTCCACCATCTTCTAGATGCCGCCGAGAATATGCATCCGCTCCTGTACTACCTCCCAAGCTTCGCACCGTCGCTGGAGCAAACGTCGTTGCAATGGCGGAGCTCGAGGACACAGGTCCATCACGAGGATGCTGCCGCCGCCACACCATCATTGCTTGAACAGACTGGATTCCAAATCCATCCCCAACCATAGAACCATCACCTCATCGGAGTAGGATCTGACGAAATTTTATTCAGCGCCACCATCGCCGCCGTCGAATCCAAGACGATGAACAACCCAAAAAATAAGCTACTTTAGGCTAAAACTATTCACGCGCGTAGATCCGATGACCCTCCTCACCACCGACGACCGAGGTTGTCAGCGGAGGAGAGCTGCCGGAGGACGGGGCGGAGGAACTTCGTGGCGGTGCAGGCGAGATCGCCTCTTTCTTCGATAGGGAGAAAGAACGATACGTAGTGGACAAACATGACGAGTTTTTTTTAAGCATCGTGTATTGACGAACTGATTTGTCTAAATACTTCCTCCGTCCGGCAATAACATAGCTTGCAAAACGTTCTTAGCTTGCAAAATATTCTTATATTGTGGGACAGAGGGAGTACTTCATATCATGTATTTTTTTTTTTGAACCGACGGTATTGCGGGGAAGCAGTTTTTTTTTAAGAGGGGAAGCAGCCTTTTTTTTAGTGGATGCTGGGAAGCAGTTGGGCTTTTGGCTTTTGAGGGAGCTTCTCTTTATTTAATTTTCAGGGCCCAACAGTGGAGTAAAAATATCTTGCATGGCTGGCGTGTCATCTTTGCGGGAAACCCCCCGGGCGCCTGTCGTAATTACAACAGCCAGCCGCACACGCTCTCCCTCCCCCTCCCCCGCGCCTCGTCACCGTTCCGATCTCTCTCTCCTCTCCATCTCGTCCCCCCCCCACCTGCGCAGCCAAGAAGTTCAAACCCTAGTCCAGCCTGCGAGCGCCGACACGCCGCGCCGTGCGGCTTCCCGCAAGCAGGTGCTCCGGCGGACCGCGGGGGATGAGCGGAGCGGCCTACAGGGACCGGGGATTCGGCGGCGCCGCGGAGATGGACCGGAAGCGCATCAAGGAGGCGCTCGAGAAGCACACGGAGAGGCCGTCCCCGTCCACCTCCAGGGGGGCGTCCAGGGAGAAGGAGCTGCTCGCCGCCGGCAAGATAACCACTCAGATCGGCAAGGTCCCCAAGGTCTCCGACGTCGGTGAGGATCCAGCCGTTCGCCCGGCCTCTGTTTCTTGTTTTTTGTTGTGCTCCGCATTGCCTGCTTTTGCCAGAACGACGCGGCTCCTGTTATTCTAGTGGTAGAGGAAATCATATGGTGCACTGTCATTGCATGCCCGTGGGAAGCGACTTGCGACGTTCCCCCGTGGTTGCAGTGAGACGCGGGGAAACAGGAAGTTCACTGCATTGCGTGGAGCTGAGGAATCGATTCCGTATTGCTCTGTTTACTTTACGTCTGACGTCCATGCTTCATGTGCCTATCATCAGTAAGTATCATGCTGCATGGGGGAAAGAAACAGAGGATAGTAGGCGAAACGAAGTAGGGTTGCTGAAGATGGAATGGCAGAGATGGCTTGAAGACTGTCGAGGAATAAAGCCTTGTTTTTCTTTCGCCTGTCTAGCATTTTTAGCTACTGGATTACATGATTGTCTGGTAGAGAATTTCTGATTCTTTTCTGGTATTGGTTTGCTACAAGTCATCTCAGTCTTCTTTTCGTGGCTGATTGTCTGTTAGGTCAGTAGGGCTCTCAAGCTTCAGTCTTTTATCTTTTAGACTATGGAATAGTATTTAAGGCAAATGCAACATTTTCTGCAGGATAATTTTGGGTATAGAAGCACGATTTGATTCACTCCTTTACGATGCTTTCCTTCAGCAGGAAAGATGCTCCATGGGGAGTAAAGTATTTTCCTCGTGTAATACCGTAGATTAACCAGGGAGTTACACTAATGATTTTTTGGATCAATGACAAGCGTGACCAAAAATCAGTTTGGTTTCATGCCTGGGAGGTCGACCATGGAAGCCATTTTCTTGGTACGGCAACTTATGGAGAGATACAGGGAGCAAAAGAAGGGCTTGCATATGGTGCTCACTGACCTGGAGAAGACCTATGATAAGCTACCGCGGAATGTCTTGTGGTGGGCCTTGGTGAAACACAAAGTCCCAGCAAAGTACATTACCCTCATCAAGGACATGTACGATAATGTTGTGACAAGTGTTTGAACAAGTGATGTCGAGACACTGATGACTTCCCGATTAAGATAGTACTGCATCAGGGGTCAGATTTGAGCCCTTATATTTTTGCCTTGGTGATGGATGAGGTCACAAGGGATATAACAAGGAGATATCCCATGGTGTATGCTCTTTGCGGATGATGTGGTGCTAGTTGACAATAGTCGAACGGGGGTAAATAGGAAGTTAGAGTTATGGAGACAAACTTTGGAATCGAAAGGGTTTAGGCTTAGTAGAACTAAAACCGAGTACATGATGTGCAGTTTCAGTACTACTAGGTGTGAGGAGGAGGAGGTTAGCCTTGACGGGCAGGTGGTGCCTCAGAAGGACACCTTTCGATATTTGGGGTCAATGCTGCAGGAGGATGGGTGTATTGATGAAGATGTGAACCATCGAATCAAAGCCGGATGGATGAAGTGGCTCCAAGCTTCTGGCATTCTTTGTGACTAGAGAGTGCCACAAAAGCTTAAAGGCAAGTTCTACAGGACGGCGGTTCGACCCGCAATGTTGTATGGCGCTGGGTGTTGGCCGACTAAAAGGCGACATGTTCAACAGTTAGGTGTGGCGGAGATGCGTATGTTGAGATGGATGTGTGGCCACACGAGGAAGGATCGAGTCCGGAATGATGATATATGAGATAGAATTGGGGTAGCACCAATTGAAGAGAAGCTTGTCCAACATCGTCTGAGATGGTTTGGGCATATTCAGCGCAGGCCTCCAGGAGCTCCAGTGCATAGCGGACGGCTAAAGCGTGCGGAGAATGTCAAGAGAGGTCGGGGTAGACCGAATTTGACATGGGAGGAATCCGTTAAGAGAGACCTGAAGGATTGGAGTATCACCACAGAACTAGCAATGGACAGGGGTGCGTGGAAGCTTGCTATCCATGTGCCAGAGCCATGAGTTGGTCGCGAGATCTTATGGGTTTCACCTCTAGCCTACCCCAACTTGTTTGGGACTAAAGGCTTTGTGTTGTTGTGTTGTGTTGCCACTTTGTTTGCTTCTTTCTCCAACCAGGACACGCGTTTAACCAAACATACCAACATTTATTGCCAAACCTATTTCAGTAGTCTCCGTTCCAAAATAAGCGTCGTGGTTTTAGTTCAAATTTGGACTTATTTGAACTAAAACAATGGCACTTATTTTGGGATGGAGGGAGTATTAACTGAGCATACTTTGGCTAATTTAACCGCTTGTTTTGCAAGATTGCAAATCAGTTAGTTTCAATAATGATTTTTGGCCAATTACATTATTTACTTGTTTCTCCATCCTGACACATGTTTAACCAAAATTACCAAGTGTTGTCGCTGAACCTAATTAATAAGTGGTGAAACATTAGCAAAGGTTGACTAATTCTAACTTCATGGGGAAAAAAGGACAATTGGAGTATGCAGTGGATCGAACCCGGGATCACTTGCTTTAGGAAGGGCATCTGTGGCTCTTGGCCAGTAGGAGACATTGGAGCTCTTTGCGTTTATTTTGGCTAACAATCTTATATGTAGCCACATGAGTTGAAACATGCATACATGGAAAGAGGTTAGAATCGGTATCTACAAGGAGATTGGTTGGTTTGAGTCAGCTTCTCGGGTTTTAGTTTGCTCCTATGTTTTAAGGCGTCGCCTAAGCGTCGAGGCGCCCCAGGATGGCAAGGCGTCTACCCCGCCTTAGACAGACATGAAGTGTACGGCTGTGGCTGCTCTTGGGGCTTGGAGATGACGGCCCCGCTGTCTCCCGGCACCATGAAGAGGAGGGAGGACTGGAGGCTCCTGGCTGCCCTAGTTGTGGCTGCTCCTGGGGCTTGCTGCTGTGTGGGAGAAGGGTGGGGCCATGAAGAGGAGGGGGGACTGGAGGAGGGAGGACCAGAAGGGTGTGGCACCGTGGCGGCTGTGGTGGGAAAGAAGGGAAGAAGATAGTGGAATTAGGTCACGGGGGTGTATATGGCCACTAGATGGGCTTTTGGGCCACTGGGAGGTGCATAAGTAGTGGCCCATCTCTCAGCCATTGCTCTTTTTCTAGTATTAATATGTGCAGACCTATTGATAACTCTTTTCCTGCAATGTTTAAGGCGTTGCCTTGCCTCGCCTTACCGCCTCGCCTTGGCGCTTAGGCGTCAGAGCGGCCCTCCTCCGCCTTATGACGCTTTACCGCCTTAAAAACATAGGTTTGCTCACTTCTTTATGTAGCCATGTGTGGAATCATACACATATCGAAAGAGGGTAGTATCAAGACAAAAATGCGCATCAAAATACTATCCAAAAATGATATTTATTTGCTCTAGAAAAGTTACGGTAGCAGTAGATTGAACCCAAAATCATGCGCCTCCCTGCTGCCCACCGCTACCTTGCCCGCATGACGATGGCGGCCACGGCTGGAAGGGATGCCGCGCTCATGGAGGGCTACACAAGGACACACAAGTGTTCGTCAACCGCCTGACCGCGGAAGTGAAAGCAGCCGAAGCATCGATGTCACTTCCAAACGAAGGAAGAGGCCGGACTAGTTGAAGTCGTAGTAGAATCCTAGTTCAAATTGTAGTAGAAATCCTTGTTGAAATCATTTGGATATCTTTGTTGAAATCCGAGTAATAATCCTTGTTGAAATCAAGTTTGAAACTTCTTCCATTGTTGTTTGATGAGATGGGGAAGAAAGAGGTCTTGTTAGCCAATGACAAACCGATTCCACATAGAGAATTTTTTGAAGGCTATGTTTATGGCGATTATCTGTTTGTGCAAAGGCTCGCCGACCTCCAAAACATTATGGAGTGTGCTCCATATGCAATATGATGACTCTACTTATGGTGACTCTGCTAGAGTTGCTCTTATCTTTTCTGTTCGAACTGGTCAGTTCTGTTTAGTCTTGTGTTGTTTGACGATTGAACACCTTAGCCTTGCCCTAGACACCCTTAGGCGTATCGAACACTATAAATTCAAAATTATGTGGAGTAACTCAATAAGAGATTTTTTTCTCTTCGCTTTATCGCTATAGTGATGTTCTTTGTGTTTTTTTAATCTGTAGAATATCATGCGTTTTTACTTTTGTGAGCCACATGGATTTTTGTAGTGTTTGTCAGGATGTCGCTTTACTGGAATAGTTGTGATTACTAGCACAATGCTCATGCGTTGCTATGAAACTATAAAATATGAGGAGTTAGGTCACTGGCTTAGAAAGTCGTTAAAATACATTGGTGTCCTGCGGCCTTTGCGTGCGGTTCACGGTTTAAAAGAGAGAAAATACAACGAAAGATCATGAAACGTGAATTGAAGAATCTTAAGTGGTCACAGTAGTTCCTTTGCAAGACATAATAACATCCGAATGTTGAAACATATGAGAATAGGCATTAGTAAGTTGTCTGCACAAGATCATGGATCGGGTAGGAAGACAAGGTCTATCGTCGCTTTGGAATCACAGTTTATTCACTCTTGTTCTGTGATACAGAACTGGAAGAACTTGGTTGGGAAGAGAAACGGAAAATAAGAGCATAAGTTTGAGTTGGAGTCGCATTTCTACATTTGTTATTTGTGTCTTCTACTACCTCTGTAACTTAATATAAGACAGTTTTTTGACACTGTGACAGTGTCAAAAGATGTCTTATATTTAGTTACGGAGGGAGTATATGTGTTGGTCTCACCTGAAATTCGTAGTGTACTTGTTTGTATTTGTTAGGTTTCACATGTTAGTAAAAGTACATTTGTTTATTTTTGTCTCTTGAAGGTTGTTAGTCCATACATGTGGATAGGGGTGCATTTGTTTATTGATGAAGGTTGTTGATTCCACGTGTAAACTCACCTTCAACTCCAATCTTTATAAGTAGGAAAAGATAAATATCATTTTTTACTATGTAGACTCCTCTAACCTTCTTATTTTGGCACTGCAGAGGAATTCGAAACTGACAGTGAAGATTCTGATGTTAGTGGTTCTGAAGGAGAGGATACATCTTGGATTTCATGGTTCTGTAGCTTGCGAGGCAATGAATTCTTCTGTGAGATTGATGATGATTATATACAGGATGATTTCAATCTCTGTGGCCTAAGCAGTCAGGTGCCATATTATGATTATGCACTTGATCTCATCCTAGACATTGAGTCTTCTAATGGTGAGATTGTTTCTTCTTAAGAAGCTACCTTTTCTTACTGTAAATACTAAATACACCAGTAATGGTGTAATACAATTGACATGTTATTTCTGTTTGGAAAATTTTCCACTTTTCAACCTTGAACTCTAAAAGCGCTTTAAATGCAACCTTGAACTATTGAAACTGTCCACTTAAAGCTCAAGCGGTTTCACAGGCGGTGGTTTTGACTGATGTGGAAGCCACGCAGATGCAACCTCAATGTCACGTCGCTGCATGTCATCAAATTCCATTATTTTATCTGTTTGTACAATTCTGGTATATCTTTTTGTGAAAGTTTTTAATCCGGATGGTATAGTTTGTTTTAGAATTGCTTGTGTCTTTAGTGTGTGTTCATGGTGGTGACATGCCAATGGTGTGGATGACACGTTGCATCCATGTTACCCAAAAAAAAAAGTGAAACCGTCCAAGGGTGAAAAGTGTGCTATTTCAGTAATTTGCAGTAGCAATTCAAACGGTTTTAGAGTTCAGGTTGAAAACTGAACTTTCTCCAAGTTTTGGGTTATAAAGTGGATTTTTTCCTTTCTGAATTTATCATCTATTATTTGTATTTTCAGATCACATAATTATTTTTTTAATAACATATTTTTTTATGTTCATCAATTTCATTTCATTTAGAAGCAAATTTCCAGCAACCTGTGTATATTCATCCTGCACTCTAGTATCCACAGAAGGTACTGTTCAGGTTTACTATTGAATTCATCTAAGTGGGGCCATTTTTGTGCAGGTGATGTATTCACTGAGGAGCAAAATGAATTAATTGAGTCATCTGCAGAGATGCTGTATGGTTTAATTCATGCACGGTACATCTTAACCAGCAAGGGTCTAGCTGCAATGGTAATGCTTGTTTTAATCTATGCGTCAAGATACAATTCTTTCTTACCTTATGTACTGAATTACTACATTTTCGTTTGTTGCAGTTAGAAAAGTTCAAGAACTATGATTTTGGCAGATGCCCTCGAGTATACTGCTGTGGTCAACCCTGTCTTCCAGCAGGGCAATCAGACATTCCTAGGTCAAGCACAGTGAAGGTGTTTTGTCCAAAATGTGAAGATTTACACTATCCAAGGTCCAAGTACCAAGGCAGTATCCTTTGGATTTTTCACTCTGCTCAAATTATTAGTACTCCCTCCGATCCGAATTAATTGATGCAGCGTCTGTACAATGTAAAATGGACGATGTATAGAGGCTGCGTCAATTAATTCTGATCGGAGGGAGTAATATACTAATATATCCATCCATCGTAAGAGTATTAACTTGCGTGGCCCATTAAACAAGGTCTTCACAAATTATGATTTCTTATGTAACTCTGATGCTGTTTCATGGGAATTTTAGCTAAGATGTTTCCGTCCACCTGTGGTAAGATTCTTGCGTGTCCCATCCCATGCGGTTTCTTATCAAATTGTCATTTCCACATTATGTAAAATCTGAAACCACTGAAATATACAGCCCTATAATAGTGAAATGCCATTATGGTTTCTCCATCGCAACAGTACAGTGATATAACCGTATAGAAAAAGGTTTAGGTAGTAATTTGTGGTCCACACTAAACATGATTCAACTTTATTTCATCCTGCATTTTGGACCTTTTGGTAGTTTGTGTTACATATTCATACATGTGTTTGGTGGTTACGGTTATACTAGAACCAAATATTGTACCGCTGTTGCATCCTTGACTCAGCCAAGACATTGATGGAGCATACTTTGGTACGACATTTCCTCATCTCTTCTTGATGACATACCCACACCTGAAGCCACAGAAGCCATCACAGCAATACGTCCCAAGGGTTTTTGGCTTCAAACTTCACAAGCAGTCATGACGAACTTTTACCAGTGGGCGCTATTTGTTTTTACCTAGTGTTAGAGATGGAACACCTTGGCCTGAAAATGTTGTGGCCTCTTGATTCGAGTACTCGCGAGCTCGAATCTTGCTGTAAACTGCTGAGCAACTGTATCTGTTTTGTTGTATGACTATTGTGTAATCTAGGTTTCCTCACTTGATCAATCTATGCACATTTGCATGTTAGCAGGGTGTTTTTCTGTGTCCGAATCGGATACATCTAGATCACACCCCAGCAAGTTAGTTTCCTATGTTTTTATGCTATTATTTTCTAGAGTTTTTCGTTCTCCTACCTTCTCGGCTAGTAAGGCACTTAAATTTTCATCGCGTATTTGTGTTTGACGTTGCCTCCCAGGTTTTGGTATATGGTATGCGCAAGTTCAGAGTTTTACTGTTAGTATGTTGCTGGAGCTTAACGTTGAAAAAATATACACAAATTGTAAAGTAATTTCCTCCTAGTTTTTTTTAATGTGCAGAGAACAATGTACTCCTTTTGGTCAGCAACAAGTAATATGGATCAGAGGGAGTATTCTTTCCCCTGCAAATAGAAAGAAAGAAAAATGGTATTGTAGGAGATTTAGTTCTTTCCCCTGCAAATAGAAAGAAAGAAAATTGGTCCTGTAGGAGAATTTACGTGTTATTAATATATATATATATAATATGGCAGAGCCGTGGCTGATGTTGGATCAAGACGGTGATGAGCCAACATGTTGGCCCATTTTCTCCATGATTAGTTGAAGCAAACACACGGTATCACTGTCATACTAAAACCCAGGACCAATTGCCTATTCTGATTCATGTACTTGGACACCTTACATTAAATAATCCTGTGGCACACGTAGGATGCTATCCATCATGCCATGGATGTGGATAAGCATGGCGATGTTGCCTGCTCATCAACATCACAGCACCACGACGAACACGTCCTCTTTTGACCCGGTGACGCCCCAACTCTCAACAAATTATCATCCCCATTATATATTATGATGAACTCACATGTTCATCCTGAATCATCAAATGGAATATTCCTAGGTCACGACTCTGTCCTGAACTCAACTCATGAGTAATGTAATAAGAGCAACTCCAACGGGTCGACCCAAACGGACGACGTTTTTATCCGCTTTTTATCCGTTTGGGTCGGCCGCCCGCCCGCCGTCCGCCCTCTTTTAAATTTAGGTCGGCAGTGCGTCCAACGGGTCAACCCATTTCATGACCGCGCACGCTTTAGATCATGCTAGCGGCCATGCCGTCGCTCTGTTTTTGGCGCTCCAGCGGACGGGAAAAGTTCGCGCGCGCGGACGAAAAGCGGCCTAGCGCATGCTGGTTTTGGCGCTCCAGCGTGCAGGAAAGGTTCGCGCGCGCCGCGGCCGGCGCTCGTTATAAGAAGGAGCTTCCTCCACACTTTGTTTGTCGCCCACTCGTCTCGCCCCCTCTCACTAGCCTCGTCGCCTCTGCGCCAGCATGTCGATGCGCCGCCTGGGCGCTTCGGATTTTCGCGGAGTCTGCGAGCGTCGCTCCAGCGCCTTCTCCTCCGAGATCTGGTTTGGCGAGAAACGCCTCATCCTCGGCACCTTCGACACCGCAGAGGAGGCGGCCCGCGCGCACGACGTAGCGGCGTGGCGCCTCCCGAGGCCTTGTCGGGATATGAATTTTCCCGACGTGTCGAGCCAACGGGCGTAGGATCTCACGCCTCTCCTGCGGCTTTTCACCGACGAGGATCATCGTGTCCACCAGAAGCGGCAGCGTCGCCTCGCCATCACCGAGATGGACGTGGAAGCCATGGTGGTGTGGCGCGAACGCTTCCCGCAGGACATCGTCGACGAGCTGCAGTTCTATAAGCAAAGGAGGACGAAGAGGGACGCGAGTAGGACAGAACGAGCTGCCTATCGGGAGGACAAGCGTTCGCGGAAGCTGGCCACTCAATTGAAACTGAAGCTACGAGAAACGTCGGATTGGGACTTCGAAGACGAGCAGCATGCTGACACCTACATTCAAACGTCGGAGAAGGACATTACCGAGTCGGAGTCGGAAAGCGACGAGTAGTTGGTCTTTTCTTTTATCTGTGTACGCTAGAACTATCTATGTATCCATTTTTATCGGAAAAAATGGCCGGCGGCGTCGGCGACGAAGCAGGCGGGCGAGGGTGTGTTGTTTGATGTGAAGAGGTCAATGTGCCACCGACCAGCGGGCCCGATGAGGAAAGAGGACGAGCGCGCGCGTCTGTCTTGTGTCTGCGCCGACGCAAATCCGGCTAAAAAATGGGTCGGGAATGGGTCGGCAGGTGGATGAAAGCGGACGCGCGCCCGTTTGGGTCGACGCGTTGGGCCGACTTTTCTGTCCACGCCGATCCAAACAGACGGTCACGAACGAAATGGGGTCGCCCCATTAGAGTTGCTCTAATATACCGATTCGCAAAATAAGATTACTCGGGCCAATGTAAGCTCACACACACAAAAGAAAAATCTTTACTGATTCACCCAACTTAGCTGTAGCTCCGCCAGTGCATACACCACACAACCAAACTTAGAAACGATCTTCTCTTGAAGCTCCAACCACTAGTGCAGCCACACACTGTGGCACTAAACTTAGGAACGACGACCTCGTCGTGAGCTCGTCGCAGCACTTGGACCACCACAGCCGCGTGGTAGTACTGTGCGCTGCTAAACTTAGAAACAGCATTCATTCATCTTGGCACTCAATAGCTCACCCGGGGCACCGCAAGTGTGTGGTACTGTCGCCGCTAAACTTAGGAGCGGTTTCGTCGTGAGCTCGTAACTTGAGCCACCAAAACCATGTGTACCCCGCCCCTAAACTTAGAAGCGGTGCTCGTTACTTCACTCGTCGCATGCCGTTCACTTGTAACTTGAAGCGCCGTGGCCACGTGTGCTGCGCCGCAAAACTTAGAAACTATCTTGTCGTGAGCTCCTAACTTCAGCCACTTTGGCTCAACCATGTATGCACTAGAGCGCACCACGAGGACCACACACGCGGATGTAGGGTGATACTAGGAAGTACTACTTCCTCTATTTCAAAACGTAGTGCCTAAAGTTAAACAATGCAAACTCTGATCAAGTTTTATGAAGAAAAGGATCTACAAACAGAATACCAGCTGCATATTGATTAGGTAGATATATCATGAGATTTATTTTCATGTTGTATATATTTTTTATATTCTAGATATGGATAATTTCTTCTATGAACTTAGTCAAAGTTTGCTTATTTTGACTTTAATTTCGTTTTTTTTAATACACACTATGTCATACTAGAACGGAGGAAGTGATAAACTGATCGACCAAAATGGCCGAGGGCTCGCTTTTGCAGGGAAATATTCTAATTTCAGGCCGGTGAAGACGACCCCATCCATTTCCCTCTGTATTCCTTGCACACACACATGACAGAGCCAGATCGAGGCAAGGCGAAGGCGCACGGAAATGGGAGACCTCCAACGTGCTGGCCCTATCGGCCTGCCACTTTTCATCCTTCCATGTGCAGGCAAACAGACCCGCAAAACCTAACAGGCACACCATGAGTAAAAGTGTGAGTTTGCTAGCTAAATGCATGCATCCCACGCTAAGTCGCTGTGATCTGGTAGCCCCTGTGTCTGAAGTGTTTCTTAGTTTCTTTTCGGTCGGTGAGAAAAGTGTACTACTCCCTCCGATCCAAATTAATTGGCATAATTCTAACACAACTTCACATTTCTTGTATTAGCATCTTTGTCTTCTATGACATTCGTGCATAAGAAACTTCACACATACGACGCGTGCATTGTCCTCATGTTTTTAAAGTACGTTACTTCCAATGCACTAATACTGTTGGGCTTCATTTAGTATTCTCAATAATTGCAATTTGATTAGGGTTGTAAACAAGGGACAAACGCTGCATACATCAGCAAAAAGAGCGGAAAGGAGTTCTGACAAGACTATCACTGCCTAACAAGTGCTCCCTCTATAAAGAAATATAAAAGTGTTTAGATCTCTTTACTGATCTAGACACTCTTATTGTTTAGTGAGGGAGATTTTACACCAGATGATTACTTATGTGTAGCAACAAGGGAATACATATTTTTGTTAGGTTAGCCTGTGAATTAAGTGTGCATATTAATTTAATAGTGTATAAAATATAGTTGTTAGATCAATAAAAATTTATTTGGCGGTAAACACTTGTTTGATAATCATTTATTGGCTTATCAAAGAAAAAAAATTATTTGGTACATAAATTAGTGGTGGGGCAGTTGAGGCGGAAAAAAAAATCAGAACAGAGATAGAGTGGGCATATGTCATGTTGGACGAAGAACGAGCGGACAACTGAATGTTACATACTTTTGAGAGATGAAACAAACCGGCAAGAGTAGAACAAATTCAAAACTGGGCCATTTCACCACTCATCTTATTGGTCAAAATTGCATAACCCCTAGCGAAAAATATTCTTGGAGTATTCATATCGAATGTTGTTTAACCACTTTAAGGCCACGCAAAAAAAAAATCCCACTTTAAGAATTGTTTTTCTTCCTGCAAAAAAATAACTTCACAAATTGTTTAAAGCACATAAATTTTAGAAGGAAAACAAAATCCACACAGTGCAGACGAGGTCCAAGGGCCCGCTTTGACCCGCAAAACTTTAAATACAATAGTACAATTCCGTCCCATGTTCAAAAAACATGCCTAAATTTATATTTAATTACTCAAAGACAAATATAGGAATCTTTGTTAGTGTAGATAGACTTTTTCTTTGAAATATTGTACGAAAAATATCTCCCCAAACCGCAAAGCCCGCAAAGCCCATAAATAAAAGCACACAAAGATAGAAAAACAAAATAAGGAAAACAGCCGCACAATTTGAGATTCCGTTGAACTGAATCGAGGGACCATCCTTCGCAAAAATAAAATAATGAAACTGTTTTTTTTTTCCGGCTAGGATCTATTTGGTTCAATGGAATGTTAGGGCATCTATGATTCGCATGATTTGTACAATACATGAATA